GAATAGATCAAACATGCGGCGATTAAATGCAAGCCCCGGGATAAAACTGGTGTATAAGGGAGCTTTGTAGCGGTGACTGAGCTGCGAAATGAACTGAAAGTGGGGAAGAGAACAGAGAGATCATCGTAAACGTCAAAAGACCTTAACCTACGGTAACGTCGGATGTGGTACGATGGCGAGACAGGGCGATCAAAGAAGACAAAACACGCGAGAGAGCACGCTGATCTCTACATCAATAGCGGTGGGTGGGAAGCGTTGCAGCGAGGGTCGATGGTTGCAGGTTCGTAATGGATTAGCGCCCTAATCGCGCAATTTGGGCAACGAAGCTGGCATGATCTATGAAGGTACGTACCCTAGATTTCCTCGTAATTTCTTTTCTACTACTCGGGTGACCCGGAATTTTCCCTGTAAAAGAAGAGCAAACCCTGCGACTGCGCTGGATTCACGAGCAAAGAGAAGAAGAAAACCAGCAACATGCACATGACTAAACTTCTTCACTAAATTAGAGAGGAATAATCTCAAGCAGTCTCCAAATGGAAATTCACTGTTCCTCTGCATAAATCGTCTTCGCGAAATATTCCCATGAAAATCGAGAAAAAATTAAAAATCATGCACCCAATCATAAACACGAAGCAGCCGCGATCCGGCTGAACAATCACTGTTGAAATCTGACTGGAAACATCATCAACCACCAACTGTGCACATTTCCATTCCATGATGTTTGCAGAATTGGAATATCGGTTGCATTCTCGGAGTCAGTGAACATAAGAAGAGCCTTCACCTAACAGTCTTCATACTAAGAAGGTTGAAAGGTTTTTCCTCGAAATTTAAGATGAAAGGTGAGCCTATTAGAAAGCAAGGTAGAGGTGGACAGTAGTGCAGGGACAAAGAAGAAACTATGAGAAGCGGCCCAAACCAGGGTCAACCGTCCGTTCGCACTATTCGAACGAGGGGGTCGCATTTTGGTCATGGGCCGAGGGAGGGGGTCGCAATTTCAAGGACCCGCAACCGAAATCGCGGCGGTAGCGTCATTGGTCGGTGGATGAAGGGCTGGGAGGAACGCTCACAAAGAACATGAAGTTGTCATAAACTCAAAATAATTATTCTTTTCAGGCTCGACCGTTTCGTCCTGAGGTATATCTCCGCGTGAATTACCGCACATCGTAAAGGAGCCTTTCATTTTTCAGCAGAACTTTCGGGGAAACGAGCAGTGCCAAAAATTGAGCAAGTTCGAGTCGCAGGAAGAGGAAATAGACTTCCAAATGTCTTTGCAATGTGCGTGGCGTATCTCAGAGCAAGTCTTGTTTCTGCCAACCGCTTCAAACTTCACTCGCTACGCGTGGAGATATAGTCATATAGTCACATAGATATAGCTATCTCGGTGTGGTAAGACCAAGCAAAGATCAACGGATTCCACAGTGCTATGGAAAAATTGACTTCTCGACGCTGAAACAAAGATTTAGATAAGCCATATTTTTATGGAAGCTTACTCAAGAGGAGTGTGGAGCACTTTAAGAAGTGGAAATCCCTCAGCTCTCAAAAACGCCTTCATTCCTCTACATCGAACTTCTTGAAGGAAATTCTGATCGTTGAAGGCCTAAAAACTCGGATTTACTACTCGAAAACTTAAGACCCTTCACCTCTCCCCTGATTTCTAGTGGGCTGCCTTTCATCGTAAACTCCGCGAGTGGTGTAGCGGTAGTAAATCTGAGTTTCACTGTTGACATGGGACCTCACTTGGAGCCACAACAAGACTACAAAAGCACGGCACAGTTATGCCGAAAAAGTTTATAATCTTGTATAACATTATAACCCATGATTTTGATATAGGAATGGATCTACTTGATCTTAACACGTTGACGACGAGCGATTTTTTCCTTGTCGCGCGCATGGGACGAGGCGTTTTTTGCATGCAAAGCGCCGGTAACAACAGGGCAAAACTTATTTTGTAGCTCTGTAAAATCTCGAAATGCACAAAATGCCTTTGACTAGAGTACTCCAGACACGTTTAGAAACAAGGAAAAGTTGTTACTACTGAATGCTGGGTGAAATTTCAGTGACATCGCCTGGCATTTTCAAACCTCAGGTTAGAATAGGTTCTGAAGGCGCAATTTCACGCATTCTTCATTTTTTATTATTAATATGAGCTTTCCTTTAGATGGTATCCTGATCACATCTGAAATCTTCTACGAATTTTTCACTCAAGAATGACGCAAAAAACTTTGCGTACCTGACGGAATGAGCTTTTGTTTGACTGTTATCTTGTTCTTCATGATCGAATAAGTGATTTAAACGAGTCATTTCAAGGTCAAAAAACCTTGTTTGTGAAATATTTGGCAGTTGATGGACTGGATAGGTACTTTTGTCCTGCCTATGAGTAAGACTGAGCCTACTTGACCATCATGGGAACCTAAGCTAGAATGGACATTCTACTGACGGTGACCTAATTAGTAAAGGTCGATATGAACAATTTTAGTGAGATTTCCAGTTTTGCTGACGGTGGGAACTTTGTGGTTGTGATTCAATTGACAGCGCGTTTCTGCCACTGATAACTAATTCAGAATAAAACTCCCAGGAATTAGAAAGATCATAATTCGCAGACAAGTGTAGTAAGTTAGGACACTGAAGTAAACGTTGAAATAGAAAAGTCGCGGGTTCCATCTAAGTTTGCTTACTTTCAAGCTGTCGGTCACATTGACCGACATCGTCGCCAACGTGTTAAGAAAAAGTCACACTTACTTGGCCGGTTGCGGGGGTCAGCGCCCATTCATTGTTGCACTTGTACACAAATACTTGTAATACTAACAGCAACACACAATGAAATGGCAGGTTTAGCTCATAATTAGGAAGGGGAAGGTTGACTGAAGCAACCTCTAGCAGGATTAGAAAAACCATGCTGTTTCAGCGGCAATGCAAGCGTTTGAATTTGGTGGTGGCAATTGCCACCGCCAGGGCCGAAAGGGTTAAAATAAACTTCATATAAAGTGATGCACGTTTCGTTGGGAGATCCAAAACGCTAAACGCTGAAAGGGCACTAAATTTATGGGCTACAGACGAGATACCAACATGGGCTGACGCATACAGGATCAGGTAACATCGGTTACCACGACAACTTGAAGAGATCGAAGTAAGCAAACCAGCCCTTTTGGCGTTTCTGCTGGGGCCGTATGCTGAATGTTGGGGAGGGGATGGGGTCCCCGACGGTCGACGGACTACTTCAACTCGGTCCTTAAACCGCCTCAATTTGATGCTTACCTCAGGACTAAGCCTTAAAGAGAGGACGGACCTGCGAGAGAGCGCAGGTCCGTCCCTCTCCAAGGCTTAGTCCTGGGGTAAGCAAACCAGCCCTTTTGGCGGAGCTGCTGGACCAGCTGCACCACTTGCGTCATTACTCTCCTACCGTACCGACCGAGTTGAAATAGTACCGTCGACCGTCGGAGCATATGGCCCCAGCAGAAACGCCAAAAAGGCTGGTTTGCTTACCTAGAAGAGATCGGGTGATCTTCATGAGCTCATTCAGCCAAGCAGCTGTACATGGAGATTTTCGGCAAGAAACGCGATTTAGAGTTGTACAACCGGATTCGATAACAATGATCGCGATGGCTCTCACCTGTATCACCTGTCGTCCCGTTGATCATCGAATTGCTCGAGCGGGCGCCAGCAACGTCTCCATTCGTCCCTGTCGCGTGCAAGAGTTGTTGAGTTGTTGTGAGTTGAGACGCGATGGAAGACGCGATGGAATATCAGTACTATCTTGGCAAAGAAAAAGTCGACAATAAACGCAACTTGGGGAGCATTTTCAAGCAGTTATTCTACCCGCAAACCGCCACTGGTTGCGATCTAGTCCTTACATGCCATCAGTCTTGCTTCGCACAAATAGACAGCAACAAATGTATTATTCAAAAACTTCCATTTGAGGATATTTTCGAAAAAGTCTGCAATTAAAAACTGTGTCAAGTATAATAGAATAGAAAACAAGTTTTAATTACAAGACTACTTTCCAGCATGAAAATTTCAAAAACATCAGCATTTTGCTCGACGTTTCACGGAGAGAAGTCGTTCCCCTTTTACCCTGCGCTATGAATTTGTTATTACCATTCTGAGTTAGAGTAACAGGTGTGCATAACCTGTGATGCACATTGGAAGTACCGACCAAAAAACCAATATCCAATCAATTCTATATATTTCTCAGTTCACTGAAGAAAGACGACAATTTTTTTCAATCTCGAGCATATAAGATAAACAAAATCTGCACCAAATAGTTAAGTATCAATATATCAAGCCCTCCGCTTCCGAGAACCAGAAGCGCGTCGATTGCAGACAACACATCACAACTGACGACGGCCCCCAAATAAATGTGGTTGCTAGTGATTCATGGTGATAGCTGATAGTTGGTAAATGATTGCCGTAACCAGACAACTAATAGAATACAACTGCAAGCGGCCAATCATTTCAATGGCAGAAATTATGTTTTTAAATTCGCGTAGGCCGTCGTCACTTACGGTGTGTGGTCTGCACTCGACATGCATCGGAAGCAGAGAGTACAGCAAGAAGAGATCCCGGCGGTAAGAGCGTGAGATTGGAAGGAGATCGATAAGAGATCAGGCTAACTTGCATATCAGAGATCAATGTAGGAAATCAGGTCAGTGATGAAGCACGATGATGAGAAATCACATTGTTAACAACGACGAAATCGGCTGATCGTATCAATGATATCGAAAATCAACCAGATATCCTGACTGAGCATTACCCGTACTGTTACTTAAGTAAAATGATAAATAATCAATGTCTTCTGTACACATTAAAGCTTTGCATGTGCATTGGGTGTCTATGGGAAAAAGATTATGAAAAAGTCAAGGAAATGAAGAAAATGCTGGAACTCAAGAAATGTGAGCAGGTGCTTTTTAAAGGTTCCTGTAAAATGGGACCTATACAGGCGGACCTGCGTAGCACTATAATTAACACAGCACTTGACACAATGGCAGGAGGTGGTGTTGGCGCTACACGTACCACTCCTTGAAATCCTTCTTCCCAGCACCTCCACCTCCACCACCGCCGGCTCCGTTCTTCATATGCCCATTCATCCCATTGCCATTCGTTATAATGGCGCCTTTCATCGATTGGTAGCCGTTTCCATTCATCTGGAAAAGTGAATAGATGGAACTTGGTGGCATTGAAAATATCATAGGCTCCAATGCAGACCAAAGGAGGTTGCGTGGCATGGTCCATCCCCAGTGGTGGTGAGAGCTCCGGGGCGATAGATGTGTAGCCTTGCTGGCTTTTCCCGTTGCAGACCTGGAAATAGCAGTATGGGTGATCTCTAACACAGCTTCAGCGAATGCTATGGATCAAAAAAATTCCAGGGAATTTTGGCTACCATTTCAAGAGAATTTTGTCGACGACTTTTATCGAGGAAACGCTAAGTTGTGTACAAAACGCTTTGCCTTTGGATGGTTCAAACTTGCTGCTTTCCCTTATCGGCTATCAACAACACTATCACGTATTTTTTGCTTCTTACTACTGTTTTCGCGACTTCGCGAATTTGCGAAGAGTAATTCATCACAAAGATATTGAGTTTATTTTGAAAACACTTAGCCCCAGCACTTGATCACCAAAAACTGGCATATTTGCCAGAGCTCTGAGCTTTGCGATTCATGGATGGCCGGCTAGCCGCTTGTAGATTCTGCAGCGAGGGAGGACAAAATATGTATTTACATCAAAGGTGTCTAATTAGAGGTGAAGCGCCCCGTGGTGTATTCGTCAGCTCAGCAGCTCCGAAAGCGAGAGTGGGGGTTCGATTTCCTGTCTGGGGCGAACATTTCGCCTAGAATCCAGTTTCCGTGAAAATCTACGAATTAGCAGAATGCATTGCGAGGGCAAAATCAAGCACAGTGTGTTATTTGTACATTCGTAGTGGCGTATTTGAATGCGATGTGGCCTATACAATGACTTGCGGGGCCAGCCGATGTACAAGTCAGTGTTTTTTTATCCTCCCAGACAAGTCTGGTACCAATTAACCGACCCCGGAGGGATGGAAGGCTTGGTTGGCCCGGGCGACTCACCATCCCAGGATTTGATCCACGGACGGCTACTTGCCGTACACACTTCGCCACTGCAATAGAATATGAAAGATGCTGCAGATGAAAAATGAAATCAAATTAAATCCTATGGCATGAAAATCTGACAAACACACAGCAGCAATTACTTTGCACAGCTATTTGTGCTTTTAACTGTGAAGAACCCCACTCAGCCAGATATCGATACGCGAATATCGCTCCAGGAACGTCTCTCAGAGAGGAGTGTTAAGAACTGCTGTCATCCGGGAAGACAAAGCGGGCCGGTAGAGAACTTGCGACATAGCTAGGCTGACGGTAGTATCAATGGTGCTGTGGTGAATGCTACTTATGCCAGCTAACACTAGCTTTGGATGGCTAGGATATAGCTTGGGATAAAATTGTCCAGCCCATCCGTTCATTACTGTTAGCTGGAGCCAAATCCACTTATTTTGAAGCTTAGAGTTTACGATATCAGACAAAAATCGAAAAAGAGTACTACCCTTTATGAAATCAATCAGCCGGGTTACTTTGCTTCATTTAGAAGTAAAGCGTGTCATAAGACTGAACTGACTGTTACGGTAACAGCTTTTTGTAAGCCTGAAAAATCAGCAGCCCTACGAATGCCCCATTTTGGTCGCAATTTCTTATTTGAAAAAGCCATACACAAACATAGGGCATGGTGTAATTTTGAGAAATTGGGCTCTAATATGACGCCAGCATGAGGCTGAACCTCTAGAGACTCATTCTCGTGGGAATGAGTTTTCTTCGTTTTCATGTGAAGTGATTCATATCAACGGGAAATGGGAAAATCAGTTCAAATCTGTCCAGCAACCTTTTGAGAAGAGCTATTTCAGTGGAGGGTGGAAAGACTGAAAAGAGACTCACCATAGGGTAGTGGTCGCCGGGTGGCGGATTCTGACGGCAGCGGAATACACAGAACACGACGACAGCAATGACCATTATCACAGAGACGGACGCGATGCTGATAAGCGCCGTCCGAGGGAAATCCGCTGCCTCTGAGGCCTAAACACTGAAGATCAGAGAAAGCTCTTAGACTGAACTAGCAACAGCTCACTGGACTTTTCGCTCAATTTTTTGAAATGGTCTCTAGAAAACTTTCCTTCACGAAATAAAGTTCAAACAGTAAACCTTTTCTTTGTGAAAGAAAACGTAAGCTGTTGGGACCTCAATTTCTGTTTTCCAATAACAATTATTCGTGATCATTTCCGAATTCACTTACGTTTAGCGGCTAGAGAAAAAATTTGTTTTCGAACCAATAGCAAGATCTATCCGCCGAAAGTCTTTGATAGAAGTACATTCAGAGGTCACAGTCTCTTTAATTCGTGATATATTGATCTAATTATAGGCGGAATAATTAAATGACGAAATATAAATTTCACAAATATTTACCTGAATTCGTCGAAGCAGAAATATTGATTTTTGTATGTGCAAGCAAAATTCTAGTATGATAGATGATTGTAAAGACATATGTTCCGAACGAGAGATTTATCTGTTATTCAATTGACTTCATAAACAAGAAAATTGGGTTTATTCTCCTTCCCCAATGCACAACGAGAGGCCTAATATCTTGCTGTTTCGTAGTTGTGCTAAAGAAGATTTCAGATGTAACAAAATCATTTTATTTTTTTTTATTGGCAGTGTATTTGTTTGGTGGTTTTCAGATTTTTCGTGACTCGCTGTTGGAAAATTCTCTGAAAAGGTGAGAAGCGAGCTCGTCACAAAAACCCATAAAAGTGCCCGACCAGAATTCGCATGGATGGTCATGCGGGACAGCTACAACTTGGCACTGCAGTACTCCCGCGCGCAGGAATCATTCCCAACTCCCAGCTGCAACGGAGCGGTGGGACAGAACATGAAAATGCTAGTTACAATGAATGAATTTTCAGTACGTAGGCTAGGCAGGATTACGATAAAGAGGAGCGATCGAGGAGCATGGCAAACGAAAGCAGTACGTGGCTCCAGGAAATGAGGTGTGGCGCTTTCACTAGAAATGTGCTGGCATGGACGAAAGACTCGTCCAAAGCTATCGCCAATAGTGTGAGTTGATGAGGGACGACTGCGTGGCCAGCAGCGGACAACTGGAGAACTGAGTGGTGCGTGGTCTGGGCATGTGCCACCAAGCTCTTTGCAGTGAAACGTGTACGCGATTTTTTGTTACACCTGTTCATGAGTAAAGCAATAGATGAAAACAGTTCATGTGTTGCGTTTGTGACGGATGTTTGCTTTTCACACTGGGTACACATGCAGCACAATCCCTTCTTGAATTCCTATTAGAGATTATCGTATCTCGGCTTCAGAACAAAGGCAACGAAACAGACCACTGAATGGGTAACGTTCCTGTTCATAGAAACCAAAGATTTCCACACTGCATAGACTACTTAGGCCATCGACCGGAGATAATGGATGAGACACGAGGATTGAGTTCCATGACAATATAAGAAGTTATGATGCGATAGCAGCATGTCTGGTTGGATCAGTGGAAAGGTCAGAGGCGAAAAATCGCATTGCATATTCGCGATGAGACCAAAGTGACGGGAGTTATTGCGAGGTTCTCGTTGATTGTTAATAGATTTTGAAGATGAGGTGGATTCTCCAGGCATTCTGTTCCTGCATTAATTCCATTTTCTAGTTTATAGTCACATGTATCCTCCACATATGAGTTTCAAGGTCTGTGCAGAAGATGTTTCTATATTTTCGTGCATACCAGGAGCAACGGCAGAGCGAGCTACGAGTGAGAATCGTTACCTCCATACGAAGACGAGGAGTTGATCGAATGCAGACAACACACAAAGAACGAGCGAGAAAAAGCCCGGCTTTTTTTTCTCTGACCTGTCATTGCGAGTTCTGCACTTGACTCTTTCTGTCTTCGAATAGAGATTTACGTTGCTATGTGTTAGTGTTGCGGAACGACACCGCTAAAATGGGGGTCAAAGAGAGTTTCGGCTTATTGAAGTTAAACAAGGCCTTGAGGTGGTCGAGTTAGTTTAGGGCTTATATAAAAATTGTGCTGATTATTATAATGTATGAAAGTACATATAAGTTATAATATTGAGTACTATAAAATATGTTAATTAATGTAATACAAATTTAAAGCATGCATTGCCAAACGAAAAATTTCTAGCGGCCCCCAGTCCGGAGGAAAACTTTCCAGCTGCAAGCATCTATTTGTAAGGCACATATCGTCTAAATTTTTTCCTCGCTCAGGCAATTGCGTTATACACTTAGATTTCTATATAGTATATGTGATATATTTATGTGACCCAGAACGCAATGAGTACAACAATGCATGACTCGAGAGCTGTATTGTACAAATTTTGAAATGAAATACCGCTTAGCGCACTTATTCAGATCATAGAACGATTCAAAGTTGGTTTTTACAATTACTAGACTGAATTAGAACAGTTTTTGGGGAACTTTGAAAACCTATTTGATCAATAAGCAATGAGTGGGTTATGGTAATTCCAATGAGTATATGCGACTGGGGGGGGGGGGTATGATGGGGTATTGTGACGGATCGAACAAGTAGTATTTTCACAAGTGATGTAGCGATGCGCGGATCCTGACATCGTATATGCCAGTCCGGAGAAATAATTGGTATGCCAATTAAAGATTCCTGAAATCCCATGCTCGCGCCTAGACTCCTATCACGTGATGTCAGAAATCATGTGCAAACCTTTGTACTCTATGTGTCCGTGCTAGGTGATCGATGCAATTGAACAAGACGAAAGACGACGAGTCATAAATATTGTAGTCTCGGCCAGTGAAAAGCTTTGACGATTCAGTTTTGTTCTTACCATTGTCATACAAACTATTATTATATGTTTTACGGAGGCTTCATAACTTGATTGATTTACGACGTAACGGGTTGGGATATAGAGGATGTTACTAGGAGTTTTTATCCTTTGCCATGGAAATGCGTCATGAGCGGCTGGCTCTGGTCGGAACCCTACTGAGGTTTCTGTCCGAAAGTCATAACTTTTTGGCATGATAGTGGACCCCTCTGCTTGAACGGACGTGTAGTACGCCGTGACTTAAGTTCGAGCTAACTTTTTGAGAATATAATACTATTTTTCCATTAAAAAAGACCTAAAGCAAGACCGTGAGAAGGATTAGCTCATTCTTGAACAGTTAAGGAGCACAATCCTTCAAAATACTCTTTCAGGCAGGGGATTCGGGATCGGAGAGTATTGGTTGTGCTGATCAGTGTCTAGGAACGAGCGCATACAGAATCTCATTTCTACTAAAAACCTGGAGCAATTCATGAATTTTGATTACATTCTTAGGAAGAGTGTCACAACGTGACACTATAGAGACTGCTACGGGGAATCTTTCTGGGGGACTCAGTGCTATCTTTATCCGTAGTACTAACGAGTGGTACTTTGGGCTATCCAACACCATGGATAAGATATCAAGTAAACGATTAATTTCGAGCGTACTTTCGATAAGGACCGGTAAATGTTGTCCATCACACATTCTGCCCACCTCCTATACAATTTTCTGCACCAGGTCATCCACCCTGGAGTCTCCCTTTCCTAGAAAAGAAGATCCATTCTGTCAGGACGTTCCCGTTTGGACCATGGCAGGCGGAAAGGTTAAAAAGAATCTCACGGCTTTTTTCCCATTACCACCGTTACTTATCAAAAGTATACTCTGAATGAGTTGGTTACGTATCATGAGCGCTGTCATCCTTATCTCGAGTATTGGAGAAACAATGGAGTGGCCCCCCCCCCGAACTGCGATTTCACCAGCAGATTTCTGATGAGGTAACAATAAGAGCAAAGGGAAGGGGTTAAAAAAAAATGTTGAAAAAGAGCAGGACTCAGAGAACGATCAAAGTAGTTTTCCACAAATATTAAATAATCAGGATAAAAAAAAAAGATTTTCGGGGAGCTTTGAAAACATAAATTCGGTGCCAATAAACCAATGGAGATGAGCAGGATAATTTCAATGAGCTATAGGACGACTGGGGGTTAACTCTGTGACTGGATCCAACAAAGTAGTCTTTTCACAAGGTGAGTAAGCGATTCTGCCTCCTTTCACATACGAATAGCATGAGAGAAAATTATAAAGAGTAGTCTATGAATATATTCACCTAAAATCCCACTTGCCCTCTGGAACGGTAGTATCGTATAGTCCGATTCAAATCTTACAACGTTAGGAACTCTATGTGTCCCGTAGCGGTGTATCCGTAATGCAGACTGAACAAGAGGAAAGACGATGGCTTTCAAAAAATGTGGTCGCCAGTGAAATGAAGCCGATTGTGCAGTTTTATCTTTGCATTGTCATTAATTACAACTATCATTCTACAACTGAAGCAGTCACTAAAAACTACGAAGTATCATGTTTTGCGGAGGCTTTCGTCACTTGGGATTGGATTTACAGACGCAACGGGTTGCTGGATATAGAGGATACTTGCTAGTAAGTTGTTTATTTTTCCATTGTCTTATAGAGACAATGAAGGTCACTGAGCTGCTGCCGCTCAGTGGTCTCGGAACCCTACCTAAGGTTTCTGTCCGAAGTCCATAAAACGTTGGCATGACCGCTAGTGGACCCTCTGCTTGACACGACGTGTAGTACGCCGTGACTCAGATAGAAGATTGACTTGAAAGTTTCCTACCTTTCTTGTTACAAAAGGCCTAAACCAAGCGCTGAGAAAGATGAGTTCATTCTTAAACAGTTAGAAGTGCATCGCAACCCAAAACACTTCATAACAGGAGAATCGAAACTCGGTGAAATACCGTTGCCTAGTCGCAGAGTCATAGGAACTGCAACGCATTCAACAGATCATATTTCTTCTAGAATCCCCTGGAGCATCTTCTGAATCTGACAAAGCTTTCGATTATACACCTTCCAGAGAACAAAGCTCATCATCCACAGCTGTGGACACGATAGTCAGACTTCGATGAGCGTACAAAAGAGCAAAGGGAGGGTAAAAGCTGAAAGAAGTACATGTGTCTCACGTACCTTGTTCCCAAAATAGCGTATCTAGGAAAAATGGAATAGAATGGCATGTTGAACTTTTCTAACACCTCAAAAATCATAATGAAGGAGAGTTTCTATTTATAATGTAACTAAAAAATAGGTCAAAAATCGTATGCAAAGCAGAAACGCTGCCCCATAAATAGAAACTGTGCAAGCTACATAGTATCGCTTATAAATTTAGTATATCAAAAATATATGAAAATGAACTTTTTCAAAGAGCGAATCTTTTGGAGAAGTTTCGAAGGTTAAGAAGAATCTCGCAAAAATGACGAAAAGAAGGCATAAAAGATTGTGAGGCTGACCTTCATGGTGCTGGTGATCAGATCGCCCATCGGAGTTGTTGGACGGACTGGGTACACGGTAAACGAGGGTGTGGTTCGGGATTTGGCCAGTTTTGCCGTTGTCACCGACAGAAACGTGCTGAATGTGGCAGCTGTCGACGTCGACTTTTCTGAAAAACGCGAACATTGCACTTATTTCCGTCGTGGGCAACTCGTCGGCAGGACAGACGTCACCGACGTCGCCATAAATGACACAGTCTCGCATGCAGAACACGAAACGCACACACCCACACATCAACAAAAAGCGATAAACTGAAGAATTCTGGGAGCCCTCACACCTTGGCACCCGCATGCCGATTTGGCGCCGCCAGCGACACACAATTCGCGTTAAATGCCTACGTTTTTGCCGTCCCTGGGGACGAAAAACCAGGCTCTAGTCGGACACGTCTGAATTGCGCTATCTGCGCCGAGCCGCGCCAATTGCTGATATCACTCCAGAGTTGCGCCAAATAAGGCTGTGTAATTAGAAATGGCCGTGCGGGAGGTGGTTGGAGATCTCGGAGACTTAATGAAGTTGTAGTGTTTGTTTGTCGCAACGAAGAAACTGAAGGGACCAGAATAACTCGATGAAACTCAACTAAGAGGGGTATAGCCGACGGGTGACCACACACACGCAACAGCATCGGCGTTAACTCAGAGCGCTAAATCAACGGGCAACGCCATTGAGGGCCTCTGTCTTCGGGCTTAATTGGTAGCGGAACATGATTATTACCGCTGATAGATGTCTTCGAAGAAAACCCATGAACGGAGGAGAAAAGCCTTCGCGGAGATGGCGCACGTCAGGCAATGAATCGCAGGGACGCAGTCCACTGGAAAGGAGAACATGCATAAGATATTAGCGACTGCGAAATGCCGCCTGCCACGGCGGTTTCCGCTCGATTAACGCAACATTTGTTTCCGAGAGGGCCTCACGACTCCAATCGCTTTATGGCGTTCGAAATAACAAAAGGGCAGTCAGCTCATTCGAATACGCTTGGGCGCTGCCCAGAGGATTTCCTGCAGAGACAATGGCCAGAAGCGCACCGGTCGAGCGCCAGTTGAAGTCTCGCAGAATCAGCATTTGGTGCGAGCATTCGTTCGTCGGGTGGCTGTCGACAGATGCCAAGATGGATTAGCCGACAAGCCGCGGTCGACAAGCGCGCCGTGAAAAAACATTGAAAGCCGATGGGAAATCGGCTAAGGCGAAGGTGAACATTACGCATGAGCGGAAACGTTACGGAAATGCCGACGGATTCCATAACAGGTAGAATTTCATGAATGAGCGAGTCGGCTGTTAGATGTTTGTGTGAGTGAGTGAGCAGTGGGGGTGCACCGGAAACGAGAAAAACCCGCAAATCGCCGGGACTTCGGCTGCCGCTTGAGCACCTGCGCAAATTGCTGGTTAGCACATGACACCGAAAGAGAGCCTGATCTTCGACCTAAAGACGAAACCTCTAGATTCAAACGAAGCAGGCAGAGCTCCTGCACGTCGTCGTCACCATCGTCATCGTCGTCGTCGTCGTCGAATCAATGATGAAAAGCGATAGGGGACGACGAGGCCATTGCTTGCTAATATTGGCTGTAATCTGGGTCATCAGGCCGCCAGCAAAAACATCGCCAGGGCTTTTTGGGAAATTGCCGTTAAAGTCAATTCTCGGCTGAAAATTAGCCAGCTGGGTTGAACGGTGGCTAGGAGATGGCGAGATGGTCGAGGATGTCCATGAAAGTGCGAGCAGAGGAGGTCCATCGAAAAACACCCTTGCAGAGAGATTTATCACTAATCTCCATGGAATTCCTGTCAATGACGCTGGGGTAGATAATTCTCAGCACAAATGCGAAACTATCGATTTATTGATCGATGTTGAAGACTGATAGGGTCCGAAATTGCTCAAATATCGCATCAAGGATGGCATGGAACAGCTAACAAAACTCTGTGTTACATCAGATTTTCGCGGTGTGAGTTTTTTCGCCCCAGGGAGCTCCAAAAGCATGCATGGGAACGGTGGGAAGTTCCGCAGGGGAGTTCCTAAATTTTATAGAATATTTTAGTGGAGTTTGCATTTGCAAGCCTTGAAGGTCAACTCTCGGGCACTATTTTATCGCTGCAAAGCAAAAGCTTTCAGGACTTGTGGGCGGGGCTAGGATATCCCTCTGTTCAATCTCAGTTGGTTACAACAGCCAGGTACTCTGCAGGTAGACCTCAACCTTAGGACACGCGTTAGATTGTAGATTTCTACGTTTTTAAATAGGCTTACTTCCTACAAAATGCAATGAAATCTGCTACCACCAATGGGCGGAAGATTTGCTAGAGTTACCAGTAGAACTAGAGTAAATTACCGAGCCACAAGCCGTGTAACCCTGTACTGAATATGCACTTTTTTGCTTGCTGAAATCGCAACGGAAGCAGATGGTAAAACGAATTTTCTCAGGCTATGTAGCCAATTTCCGCTTTTTCGCTTGATGGGGGCTTGATTGAAAGCCAAGTCAAGCGTGACTATTGGATTTTCAGGGTTTCCTAGACGACGTTCCAAAGTTGAATGAGCATTGCTGGGATCGTTACCAGAGAACAACTGGAGCATTCCTTCAGGAGATACAGTCACATCTGCTTCCTGACTTTATTTTTTTACAGTCATGGTCTTCTTAAAGTCTTCTTAAGGTGCTTTTCACTTCAGTAGGGTATGTGACAAAAAACATCCAGCGAAGGGGCTGCTGAGAGCGTGCAGAAGTCAGCAGTAGAAGCCACTAATGTAAGATCCAGAAATGAGTTTTTCTGGAAGAAGAAAAATCTGAAGGTGAGGACTTATTGCGCGATCGGGATCACCGGAAACCTGCCTAACTATCAATTTCCCAGGACCACCGGTGCGAGGAACTCGAGCGAGCAAGAATTTAATGCTATCCTGCAACCCCTCTTGAACTGGCGATCAGAAAAGGGATACCATATCGCTTTGAACGGATTTTGGAGCCATCAGCATAGCCGAGAAATGAGAAAGTCATCCTCTCTGATGGGGCAAGGAGCCAAGTGTCCAATTCCTACGAAAAGGCGTGACATCTTAATAGGAATTCCAATTCAGGTTTCACGTCCTACTCATGGCACTCAAGCTCAGCTAACCGTATAGGTGACCGTATGTAAGGGTTAGCGATCCACTTGAATCCAGCCCAAAGGTCTTTGGAGAACGTGGTTGTGATAGACGCTTTGCTTGGATTGTTTTTCGCTGCTTATGTGCCGGAAATGTAGTCGGAAGTCGAGATTGTAGCAAACTTCCGCCTTGGACGTTTTTCCAGGACTACACCGTTAATGTGCTTTTAAGCACCTTGGAAAAATTAGTCTGTTCCACAAGAAACTACGGTCAACCTGTTATTTATTTATTTATCTGCTTATTTATTCATATAGGCACATTTTAATTGTTTGTTTATTCA